GAAAGACAATAAAAGTGTTCTATAAAGATATAAAATATAAACATTGTATTATGCCGGAATTTGATTAATAACTGCAGCAGCTTCGGCCTGAGGATACTTCTTGGGCACTCTGACCATTAAGAGTTAATAGTACACTGCTTGGGCCATGGCAGCATGCCAGGGATGGCTTGAAGATTGTTTTGGTCTAATGTCCTTGTAGCCACAAAAGCAAACGGCCTGAGAATGACTTGTCATATGCCTCCAGATTCTTAAAAATTGGATCATGTGGTTAATGAGTAAAAATGATAACTCTGTTCATCAATGGTGTCAAAACTTGAGGGAAAATGATTGGAAATGATAACTCTGTTCTGTCACAGTTTATTAATTGATGGGCAGGAGGCAATGAAACACATGTCCAAAGACAAAAATGACATGTTCTCTGTTGGAGAGCAACATGAATGTATCTATCCCTGCTTACTGAATTCTGTACAAACAGAGAAGCGCTCTGACTGCCAGTCAGCCAGGCTGCACGGTTCTCCCAACCGCCATGGCCTGGCTCGCTTCCTTCCCTCACCAGCTCCTTACGGGGATGAGCACCGGCACCCAGTCCTACAGCAGGACTCCTGCAAGGGCCCGTCTTCCCTCTCTTCCTCCATTCCCTCTGCAGATCCTCATGGCAGACCCAGATTTCTTCCCTCCTGTGGGCCCCTTCAGCCCTGTGCCCTTCTAGCCAATCACCATACCTTCCTTTGAGCTCCCCAATACCTAGTAACAAGTTCTAACTGGGTCCCCCAGTAGCCACATCCAGCAGGGACTCAGAAGCATCCCTACCAGGCCACCCACAGCCTCCACAAGCTCCTAAGATCCCAAAAAGGCAACAGAAACTGAGGAACAGAAAACCATGCCAAAAAGACAAGACCAGGTATCAACACCAAGAATTACAATCATATAGCTAGAGCAAAACCAAGGACTTAAAAATAGTCATTTAAGTTCAAGGACCTTAAAGAAGATATGAATAAATACATTAGTGAGTCTGTGAAAATGTAAACAAGAGAGAGATGGAAATAGTTTTAAGATGTGGAAGTAGAAATAGAATCTCTAAGGAAAGCCAAAACTGAGGGGAAACTGGAACTGAAAAATTTAGAAAGTCAAATAGGATCCTCAGAGGCCTTAAAGCCTCACCAACTGAACGCAAGAGCCAGGAGAGAGAATCTCAGGCACTGAAGACAAGATAGAAGATGGGTATCTCAGTTAAGATGTCAGTTAAGGAAAATGTTAAATTAAAAAAAAATCCAGGCATAAAAGATCCAGGAAATCAGGGACACCATGAAAAGACCAAATTTAAGAATAATATGAAGGAACAGAAGAAGAAATCCAGGCATAGGAAATATTTTCAACAAAAATCATAGAAGGAAATTTCCCTAACTTAAAGAAGAAATTTTCCTAACCATCAAAGTACAAGAAGGTTACAGAACACCAAAAAGAGAATGGGAAAGAAAAGAAAGTTCCTTTACCACATAATCATCAAAACACTAAACATAAAAAGCAAAGAAGGAAATTCAAGGCTACAAGGGAAAAAGGCCAAGTAACACCCAAAGGCAGACCCACTAGAGTCACCCCGACTTCGTGATGGAGACTCTGAAAGCTGGAAGATCCTGGACGGGTGTGATGCACACTCTAAGAACATAAGGCAAGTTTCAACAAATACAGGAAAACTGAAATGATGCCTTACATCCTATCTGACCACCATGGATTCCAGCCGGATATCAACAATCCCATAAACGACAGAAAGCTCACACACTCACTGAAACTGTAACATCTCACAACTAAATGAAAAATGGATCAAGAGGGAAATTAAGGAGAAATGTAAAACTTTTTAGAATGGAATGGAAATGAAAACACAACATATTCCCACAGTTATGGGGCACAACAGAGGCAAGTTCACAGCGCTAAGTGCCTATATACACAAAACGTTGTCTTCTGAACATGGCGGATGGCTCACTCGTGAGCTCAGCGTGGCCACGGTTGGCTGAGTAAGATGTACACAACGCAATCAGCACTCTCACGCAGAGTGGGAAGGGGTTCAAGGGCCTCTACCCCTAACTGAGGAGTGACAGACGTAACAACTTCCGGAGTAAGTAAAGTCAGTTTTCTTTAAGGGTGTGTATGGTGGTTTGAAAGAAGGTGGTCCCCAAAGAGAGTGGCAGTATTGGGAGCTGTGGCTTTGGTGGAGTAGGCATGGCCTTGTTGGAGGAAGTGTGACGCCATGGAGCGGGCTTTGAGGTGAGGTCTCATGTATGCACACCCCGTGAGACTGATCACTTCCTGTTGTCTGCAAGTCAAGAGATCCAGGGTCTCAGCTCTGTGTCTAGCACCGTGTCTGCCTGCACAGCACCGTGTTGCTCCATGACGATAATGGACTGAACCTCTGAAAATGTAAGCCAGCCCCAGTTAAATGTCTTTCCTTAATAAGAGTTGCCATGGTCATGGTGTCTCTTCACAGCAATAGGAACCCTAACTAAGATAGCGTGGTAACTAATAGACTATGTTCCCATGGATGCCCCACACTCTAACACGAATTAAGAGTGAAAAGTTGTGAAAAGGAGAAAAAAAAGACATGAAGGTTGGGGGGTGGGAATGCGGAGGGCATCTGGGGATAGTTAGGGACAGGAGTAGAGACAGAATATGATCGAAACTGTGTGATGTTCTCAAAGAATTGATACAATATTTAAAAAGGAAATAGATAGTGGGTTGAGGATAAACTCAGACACAGAGTGACTACCTACAGCCAGACCAGGCCCTGGACTCATCCCTCAATTCCACTAATAAGTAAGTAAATAAATAATATATAACCCCTAGGTCAGTGGTTCATCACACATGGTCTTGGGAGGAAGGTTAGATCCAGACATCCCAATACTTCCAGCAGAATACAGCAGCACAAGAACGGCCTACAATATCCTGCTGTCAAGAACTCTGTTAATGTTTACAATGTTACAATTAATTAATTGAATTAACTACAGAGGTCACTTCTCAAATCGTACTTACTATCGTCTCACACAGAAGTCTCGTCATTTAAGTTCCCTGTGATGTTACCTATCCAATCTGGGTCAGTCCGACAACACTTCCAGCTAAAGACTGAAGAGAGCAGGAGTGGGTGGAAGGAAAAGCGTCGCTATTCTGGTAGTGAGGATCAGAGTCGAGTAAGCATGGTAAGAGTTTGGCGCCTCTGATGGGATCACTGAGTCCAACGGTCTATCAAGGGTCTTGAAAGACACTGGGATTCGGATTTGATGTGACACACCAGAGAAAGCCACCGAGAAGCTCACCTTCTGATTGACAGGACACAGACAATGCTTATGAAAGAACAATGTGACCAAAACAGAAGCAAAGGCCTCGCAGGCTAATGGGAGACCAAACAGAAAATATACCTGCAGCTTCAGGGTTCTGTCTGCAGCTAAGACAGTTGAAAAGAAGTCTCTGGACTGTGCCAAGTCCTAGCTAAGGGATAAGTCCCCGATGTCCTGTGTGTCTGCGTGTAATCAAGAGTAGGCTCCTGTTTCTCAGGTCTGGTGTAAATTGTTTGCAAGCCTATCCACTGGATGTACATCCTTGCCCCTGTCCCTTCCCTCCCCATTGTATCTGTCTACAATGTATAACCCCCAACCCTCCCACCCCTGTAAACACCTTATTTCCCCCATAAGATGGACTCTCAAATCCCAACTTAGGAAGGCAGCCGACTGGCCAGGTCTGCACGCACCCCAAAACACAGCTTATGTTAGTTGGACAATTGTGAACTTGTTTTTTCTCCTTGCAAACACCCAGTTTAACGCTAGCATCTTCGTAACAGCTGCATTGGGCAGGCAGTAACTCAGGAAAGGTATTTCCTTATTCAGATGGACGGCCTCGGTGCGACCACCTCAGCCTGAGATGGACAGACAGGCTGCTGTATACACAAGTGAACAGGCGAGTCCTACGAGGGGGCAGTGGACAAGGTTTGATGATGTTCAAGTCAAAGAGGAGAACCAGGCAGAATCGGACGGTTCTATTGTTTTCAGGACGGATGCCAGGAGGGAAATGGTGGCACCAGACAGCTGGGAGAGAGGTCTGTATGGGAAAAGTCTTTGACATTCTCAAGGTAGACAAAAATTACAATGTTCAGTAGAAATTTTAGATCTAAAATTAGACTTCTGCAGAACATGTCATTATATAAATTTTTATATAAATATAGAAAGTCAATTCTTTGTGTGTGAGGGTGGGGTGTTTAGAGACAGGATTTCTCTGGAACCGCCCTGGCTGTCCTGGAACTGACTTTGTAGACTAACTGGCCCTGAACTCACAGATAGCCACCTGCCTCTGCCTCCCAAAGGTTGCGGTGAAAAGAGTGTGCCACCATGCCCAGACACAGGAAGTTAATTCTTAAAAAGAGAAAACTATATTCTAAATGCATGGTCCGCCAAGTAGAATTACTTTTTAAATTATGTCGATCTAGTCTATCCTAAAGCTCAACTTCATGACAATTGTATGTGTACTTCATACAAGATCATACTATTTTAACATGATCCTTTAATGTATGTATTATACAGACTTAATATAAGGATTATAATTTCCATTGTAAAGGCAAGAAAATTATGAGGCCAGGTTTTCAGGAGTCACTGGAGCGGCAGCTCTTAGTGAGTGGACTGAACTTAGCCGAGAGCTAAATCTGGCTAATTCTGCTTCTTCTAAGATAACCAACAAAAGCAAATACAAGACCAGCAGTTCAGCCAAAGAGGAGAAGGACAACTCAGAACTGGAACACTGCATTCTGTTACACTGGCCTTACAGGAGCGCCTGTCTAACCAACACGTAACAAACACGACTGAGAAACAGCTCTTTTCCGAACAGGGTTCTGTGCACTGAGACCAGGGAAGAGATTTCCACTCTGAGTTACATCTGAGTTTGAGGGAGGAAACGGGTGGAGTAGGAAGACGGGTGGGTTCCTAAGGGTGATGTCATCGTGAGGCAGTACCTTCCGGTCTTACCGTTGATAACCGGCGTGTAAACGACAATCCCAACCAAGTTCGGGTCGGATACAGTTGTGTCCAGGATAAGGCCCCCAATGCTGAAAGAAAGAAAACCACGTATCAGGGAAGAAGAGAGGAAAAGAATCTCAAGCTGCTCTGACTCCCACCCTGTATAGTACAATGTTAATGCAACATAAAATTCAGGCAAAAAGAAGAATATTCAAAGTAGAAAAGTCAATGTTCTCAGTAAAAAACTGGAAATAAAACATGGCCATGGGGGCAGGAGAGGCGTTCAGTGGGTGAGGAACTGGTATTTCAGCACAAGTCCTGACTTTAAAGCCTATATAAGATCCAGGTGTGGGGAGGGGAGCCTGAAATCTCTGCAGTCAGAGGAGGACACAGGAGGATCTCAGGGGCTCACTAGCCATGCCGACCAGCCAATCAGTGATCGCCAGATTCAGTGAGTGCCTCTCCCCAAAACTAAGATAGGCAACAAAAATAGGGTGTGACAGACGAGGACACTCTGAACCTGGTGTTGACTTCTGGCCTCCACAGATGCACACACCTGGGCACATACAGCATACACCCAGGCTACACACACTAAATCAGTAATAAATACCATAATCAACAGGTAAAATGTGAGTGCATTAGTTTTTGTTTGTTTTACCTATCTTGCCCCCACCTCCTCTGGGGAACAGGGTCTTGCTATGTAGTCCAAGATGGCCCTGAACTTATAGCAATCCTCCTGTCTCAGCCTTCCAAGTGCTGGGATAATAGGCATGTGTCACAATTCCCAGGTTATAGTTTGTTAACTTCACTAACCTACCAAGAACTCCCTATAAGGCACTGTCAACTACTTCAAGGCTTAAAACAACAGGACAAATGGCCCCTTCATATTCTTCTGCACAGAGTATCTTTTGTTTTGCTTTGAGACAGGGTCTCATTATATAGGCCTAGGCTGGCCTGGAGCTTGCTAGTAGACCAGGCTAGCCTCAGACCCCTAGAAATCCACCTGCCTCAGCCCCCCAAGTGCTGGATCATACTACTTTTTCATTACATCATCTACTACTCTTGCAATTTAAGAGCTAGTTTGTAAACAGCGCCTTTTCATCTGTAAGGCAAGCAGGCACTGGAGGGGCGTTTCTGAGACTAGGTGGATTACAATCGTATGACCAGAGATCTGCAGCAATGGAAAGAGCTGAGCTTGAGAAGTCTGGGAAATGAGATGCGGTTTTAATAGAACAAATGGCAAGCCACGTGCTTTCAGTGTCTCGGTGGAACGTGGAGGCTTGTTTAAGCCTTTATTAACTGTTCACCTTCAGTCTGGGGTTCATTTACTGTAAGACACATCCAGTCCCATCACCCATAGTCACCTGCTGCCTAAATCTTCCAGGGATTGCAATCTACCTACAGCAAAACGATCCACATGCTGTCATAGGACGGACAGTCCAAACAGCAGACCGAAAGTTCTGGCACCCTATGACGGTGGTTCTTAGCCCATGCCCAGACCCTCTGTGCACTAGGGATTACTTCAGTTCCCACCATAACTTCTATGCTGCTAAGTGGCATGCTCAGATGCTAGCTCTCATTTTTAGGCTAAGATCTGACTTCTGCGGTAGATCAGGATGTAATCTCACAGTTTCCACAAATGCCAGCCCACGGGGAGCCCTTCTTGATACATCCAACCCATGAGGTCACCATCAATCAACTCCACAAAGCTGTTTTCTAATTCTTAGAGAGATCTTTCCTTATGCTCGCTGTCCTCCCACACTCGGGAAAGCTGGTGTCACCAGCAGAGGCACAGCTGTTACCCTCTACCTCCTCGTAAGGGTCTCCCGTGCTGATTCTGATTTCTGTATTATCCAAATCCAAAGCTCACACAAGATTCTTAGTTTCCCATATTTTACAGGCCGCTCCTACTCTTTCCCAGATGACTTTCTTCATCCAATGCGGACTGAACATCTTTCCACAGCAGCAGAAATGTAACAGTGTTATTCTGAGTCACGGATACCCCATTCTGCAACATTGTTGAGATTCCTCTAAGGGATGCCTCACTGAGAACGCTCCCTCCTCCCACTGCCAGCACTCACCTGCTTATGACCATGGCTGTTATGACGGGCTCCCAGCCAGAGTGGAGCACAGTCCTGGTAGCTGGGTGTTTGGCAGCTATTATAACCCAGATAGGTGTCAGAGCCAAGAAAAAGGCACAAACTAGTGGAGAAATGTAATAATATGTCTCTAGAATAAAGAAAAGGAGACATTTCAACCTTCCTCTTTCCAATAAAAAATTTAAATACCAAAAGAAGCATTTTAATCAGATTTATTATTAAACATATTAAGTGTCTAACATTTTATATATAGTCAAGATTTAGAACAGTAAATAAAACTCAATGCCAAGAATGGTGGCCCATTTCCCCTACGCCAGCAATCAGGAGGCTGGAGATGGGGAACCACACATTTAAGGCCAGCCTGTGCCATACAGACGCTCTCTTAAACTATCAAATCATGTAACCGAAAGAACAACATTAATGTCCCAAACATTCATTATGAGATAGCACAGCCTACACAAGAAAAGCAAGGACACCAGGATGGACAACCAGCATCAGTTGCCAACGTGGTAGCTGCCAAGGCCCTGCTGTGCTTCTCTGTGACACGTGCCTGGGTCACAGCTGTTCGTCCGGCCTCTATTTCCCGCCTCCTTACTGACGGCAGGCTTGGCTGCCCAGCCTTCCCAAGGCATGAGTCATGCCGTTTCTAAACAAAATTTTACATGAGTTTTCAGAAATGACTGAAAGGCATGTACATGTGTGTGTGCATATGTGTGAACTATCTTCCAACACCAGACAAAAGACGCTGCAAGATCAGAGACAAGTTGCCTCGGCTTTCTGCCTAAAGGCCCAGAGAGTGAGGCTGGGGAGACACGGATCCACAGGACAGAGCAGGGGAGGACACCAGCAGGCGGAGGAGGAGCTTGGGGAGTGGATGCCGAGCATGTGTGTGCAGGGTGAGCTCTGTTAACGTGGGCCACTAAAGCAGGAAACCCTAACAGAGCCCGCAGACACAGGACCGTGAAGAACCCAGCAGCAGAGGAATGGCGCCTTGAACACTGAGAGCCACAAGCAGAGAGCTGAGAAAGGGCCGTCTGAGGAGGACGACACTGGCCTTGCAGCAAGGTCTGCTCTACACTTCCCAGCATAACTTTGAAGCAGGCCTCACGGATCTCAGGCTAAGCCACAGTAAGAAGCCCACATAATGAAGGTCCAACGCTGCATACGGAAAACAGAACTGGACACGGAACAGCCCTGTGCCCCCGGTGCTCGGCAGCCAACCAAGCCTGGAATATGTGATGGCCTGAAAATCTCTGCGACATCAAAGCTTCCAAACGGCTTACTATAACTGTGTTCTTTTCCAATCCGGGATTTACTTGATGCCATAAAATTAAGGAATCACTTTTAGAAAACCATTAATGACACAATTAGCAAAAGAAAATGGTCATTTGAAAGTCAGACAAGCTTCTACATCATTAAAATGTAAGACGATGCCTTTTTTCTAAACGAAACATGTTTAGTAGATCCTGGTTAAAGTAATACTTCACATGAAAATCTCAATAGATCATGAGTACTGTGGTAAGCCGTATATTGCCCACAAAGACACCCTGAAACTGGATGTTACCAGATATGACAAAGTCAAAGATTTTGATATGAGAAGGTTGTATGAGTTTGGGCGGGCCCTAAATGTGATCACTGGCATCCGTGTAAGAGGGGGAAACAGGACAAGACCCAGCTGCAGAGGAAAGAGCAATAGAAACAGAAGGAGGCACTGAAAACAGTAAGCGCCGGTGGCTGCCAGGCGGGAAGAGTAGGGAGCAGGTTCTCCCCCTGAACTTCCAAGAGCAGCCATCACTGCCTTGGACATCAGCCTATTCATGGCCCAATAATAAAACTTGGCACTGAAAGTCCTTACCTAAAATTAAGGGGACAGTCCCCAACCCTCGGTTTATGCCTGTAGCTGGAGTGTACAGCTTGTGGGTGGTTGGGGGTATCTACAGGCTGCAATACCTGTAGCAAGGCTGGTAGGTGAGAATGTCCAAGAATTCAACATAGACCCATCTCACACAGAACCCACGGTCCTCTTGCCTCAGCTTTCCTGATGTTTGGATGACAGGCATATCTCTAGCTCACATAAATCTTTACTGACATAAAGAAGTGCAACTAAGTTTTACATTGTTGATCCACATCCTGAAACCCTTTTAGTGGTTTTAAAACCCTGTTGGTGGAATCCTCATTTTTCTGAGGCATACATAGGACCATGTCATCTACAGATAGGGATAACTAACGCTTCCTCGGACTCCTTTGGTCCCCTTTTGTTTCTATTGCTCGTTGGAACCTCTAGTGTGATACTGATGTGAGAGTGGGCACTCCTGCCCTGCATCACCACACAAGCTGTGTTTCACTCGCGTACTTTTAACTGTTTGCTCTTGGTTTTCTGAGGCTGTGTCAGCTCTGTCCAGCACAGTTCCTGGCTGATAATTTCCTCCAGGTCTCTGGCTTTGCTCTCAGGCTGAGACACTGACCTCATGAAACAAGCTCGGATGCATTCTGTGGGGATGCTTCCTTGAAGCATTTGCTTTCTAGGGTTGATTTTTTTCAGCATTTATCTGTGTGTGTATTTGGGTTGTTGAGATAAGGTCTACTTTAACCCAGGCTGGCTTCACACTCATGCAAACCTGTTTTCCAGTCTACTTGCCTCACCAAGTCTTCTATTTCTTCCTGACTCAACTTCATGAGTGTATGCTTCTAGAAGTGTACCCACTCCCCAGAGGCTAGGTTTCCAGCATGTAATTCTTCCTAACAGCCCCTGGGATCCTTTCCTTTCTAGGGTACCGACTACAATGTCTGTGCTTTCCTTTCTGGTCGGTCTTTGAGTCTTTTCTTTCTTCGTCTAAACTAAGATGGTTGTCAGTCTTTTTCATTTAAGAAAAACCAACCCTTAATCTTGCTGGTTTGTCCCATAGCTTTCCTGCTTGGTTTAAGGACGCTCGTCCTTACTTCACGCCTGCAGACCCTGGGTTTAGTGTGTTCCTTTCCCAGTTTCCTGCTGTGTAGCCTTGGATGCTTGCGTCTTCTAGAACACAGGTGGTTACAGGTATGAGCTGGGAGTGTCCTCAGAGTTGCCTGTGCAGTATGCCATAGGTTTTGGAACATGGTTTCCATTCTCATCTGGCTTAAGATGTTTCCATTTGAGTTCTTTGAGCCACCACTATTTGAGGTATACCACTACATTTCTATACATTTACATATTTCCCACTTTTCCTCTGTCACTGCTTCCTAGTTTCACTCCATCACGGTGTTGATAAACATGACACGAGATTCCTAAACTCGTTAGGACTTGTTACATGGCTTAATATGGGGTCTATGCTAGGAAATGACCTATGTGCACGAGGAGAATGCACACCATGTGACTGTAGACTGTCAGGCTGGTGTGAACAAGTGTCCACTTCAAGTCCGGCATTTCTTTACTGTACTTCCGTCCAGATGCGCTACCCATTGTCGAAAGTGAGGTTCTGAAATCCCCACTGTGTATATTGTCTTCTACTTCTCTCCCAACCCATTAATAACTTTCCTACATCTGGGAGCTCTGATGCTGGGTACATACATATTCACAACTGCTGTGTCCTCTTCATGAACTGACCCCGGGGAATGTTCCCTGTGTCGGATTCTTGGAGCCACGGAGTTTGTAGCCTCTCTAGCCAAAGCTTACAGCTACCAAAAAGATCCTCCTGTCCTTCTCTAAACACTGCGTAGTGTTTCCAGGGTAGTACAGGGATTAACTACCGTTAATTTCCAAGGACCGGGCTTCTCAGCAAGATGAACGGGATTTTAGAACTGAAATGTGCCTACTTCTAATCTCTGTATTCAGAATGAAAAGGCCAGGTGCCTAACTGCTGATCTTCTGAGGCCCCCTAGTGCTCAGGATGCAGACATTTGGCAAGAGAAACACAATGACATTTCAGAACACCTGTAAGCTGTTAAATTAACTGCAGAATTAACCGGTAGCCCGTTTAAAAAGAAAATCCCTTGGGGGCATCAATTACACAGATGAAATAAAAAGGGTCTGAAACACTGCAAAGCCAACTTTCAGAAGATAAATGAAGGCCTGGAATATCCTAAACAATATTTAATAATACTGCGTTCTATGGTTATGGGGACTGCATTTTCTCTTACTCCTCACCCCAGTACCAGTGCAGCACAGTGCAAGGTCTCGGGGTCAACCCTCAGCTCCACAGAACAACAAAACAAACAAACACAAACAAAGTAATGTCAAATTGCTGGTTCACATCTATAATCCCAATACTCAGGGAGTTGAGGCAGGATGAGTTGGAGGGCCAGTCTCAGATACATAGAGGTCCTACCAAGACCCAGCATTAACCTGGGTAGCTCAAAATATTGCAAGCCTTGGATGACAACACATGAGGATCATAGCCTTTGATGTTTTACCTGTGCAGGGGCTTCATCTGCGCGCATGCGTGCACACCAGGTGCATCCCTGGGACACAAGGAGACCAGGCGCGACCATCAGATCACTCGTAACTGGAATTACAGACGGTTGTGCTATCGTGTGTCACGTTTCAGCTGCCATGTGGGTGCTGGGACTACAGGCATGCACCGCCACACCCACCCAGTTAATCGGTAGCATTTCTATTAATATTGCTGAGAAGAAATCTTCATCCTCTTGTAGATGTGTGTGTGTGTGTCCCTTCTCTCTGATTGCCTCCTCAAAGCAGGAGAAACCTTAACTTCAAAAGTTAGTCAAAGAGGCACCAAGAGCCTTGCTCGGGTTCTTATTGGCCTCCTACTGATGACAGTCTTGAGACAGGGTCTCAAACCCAGGCCCCAGATCCTCACTACTCCTTCCTCAGCTACCCTGCTGGGAAGATGAGTGCACACTCCCATGCCTGGCCAGACAACCCCCCTTTCTCCAGGACAGTGAGCAGCCTGGCCCTCAGGGTAAGGAGGACAAGTTGCTCAGAAGTCTGCCCGTGGCTTGGGTGGTGAGTCTAACGGAGTGAGAGAATGAAGCACCACATTCTCTGAGACCAGATAGAAGCTAACATTTACTCCTCGAGTCTAGTGTCTGGGTCTAAATTGCATGATAATTCAGAGAAGGAAATAGAAGAATCAATGTATTATCCCAGCAACAAAAGTTAGACAAGACTTAGGGTTATTTCTTTAAAAACAACCCCCCTTTTCTGCACTTCCTGTGAGAGGAGAGGGAACTGAGCACTCCTGAGCAACCGTCACTGTACCCAAAGAGTGGCAGAGCCACAGCCAATGAGAGCTCAGTGATAGTTTACGGCACCAGCCCATCTATTGTCTCATGCACTAGTTCAGGCGGTACATCTCTATCTTCAAGTGAGGAAAGAATCTGAGCACACACGGTCTGTCTGTGCCACCCATCAAACCAAAGTCAAGGCAGTGTCCTGTACTACATGAGGCCTTTCATGCCGCTGCCAGAGTCATACGGAGCTACTACATTTGATAGGTTAAAGCCTATTTGGTTCAAAAGAACATCTGCAGTTCCTCTTCAGACTTTAAAATCGTACCATAAAGCTGTATAAAACCCTAGCAATCTGTGAATAAATATTTGCCTTGAGATTGGCTTATAGATAAGTTTATTACAGTAAAGTTGTTCTTTTGTTAAACTGGAAAGCTGGTGCTTGTGCACATACGCGCGCGCACGCACGCGCACACACACACACACACACACACACACACAAACCTGACGTGTAAATGAAAACACAGCTAACATTCTGCCTTTAACCCGTGCCCACAGAGCAGGCCACTGCCACTGGCTGCGGTCCCAGAACACATTATTCCCGCCAGAACAGCTCCCTGGACTCTGCACATTTCCCGTCATGACTCATCAGGAACACGCACAAGATGACTCGAACTTCACCTAGTAGTCAGCTAATTTTCAGATGTGTCTTTTTGTTTTGTCTCTAATTGTCTGGAAGCTATTTATTAGCATGGGGTTTTGATTGGGAAAAATAACTCACTGGTAAATAGGAAGGAAGGAGGGAGGGAGGGAGGGAAGGAAGGAAGGAAATACAAATACAAAAAAACATGATAACTCTGTATCCTCACATTCAAAACACTTAACTAAACAGTGTAGTGTGATTTCTAACTGGCTATCCAATGAGAAGAAAGCACGAAACCCATGGAGTACGGCAGGATTGTATTAAACTACAATAATAGCAACGTGTAAAGCTGGGACATATACAACTTCTATGACCCTCCAGCTTCCTGTCTGAAATTTCAAAGAATACCTAGGTGTTGTAGAGCACACACCTGTAAACACATACTTGGGAGGTGGAATTAGGAGGCAGAAATAGGATCAGGAGTTGAAGGTGAGTAAATCTGTCCACATAGCAAATCTGAGGATATCCTGGGACCACATGAACTAGCTGCCTCAAGAAAGAAGGATGGGAGTGGGGTAGAAAGGAAAGAAAAGAATTTACAGAGGATAAACATTTTCTTAAGAGTTCTGAACTCAGTAAGAGAAAAAAAGCATCCGAGAGGCCACAGCACATAAAATGCACAAGCTACAGTGTTCTAGTCAATTCATCACTAGTTCTAACAGATGAAGGTCACCATGTGTTCATGACATCTTACAACATCGCTTTCTAATGACCGAATAATTCCACCTTTAGCTTCAAGTCAACTTACCCAGGCAGGAGTACAAACCCTGACTAATCCACGCTAATATGGCGAGAGTTATCAGATCACCAAAACTAGCCGCGATGGGTGTGGCCACGTTGTCAGGGTTTATGCCTGTCTTCTTTGAGCCAACGATAACTCCGACCATTATTATTCCTAGGAGAAAGAACGCTCATTACTCTTGAGGCTGACTCAGGAAATCCATTCCCCAAATACTGAAATACCCTGCACAGAGAAACAGCACACCAGTTCCGGTTGGAATGCTCAAATAAACTGACAGAGCAAACACAATCTCTTACTGTAACCCCTTTGGCAAAACCTTCAGCAAACTGCAAGAGATCCCAGAAGATATCATCGGCTCATTGTGGCATTTACTGTAAAATTACAGCAAAAACTAAAATTCTGAATTTAATGAGGCATATGCTTTAAATGTAATATATATATATATATATATATATATATATATATATATAACCACAGATTTTTATTTTAACCCATGAAGAATGAAAACACTAGAGGGAGGAATCCTATTTATATGCACAGCAACAAAACACACACCTATATACGGTAACTACAATGAAGTGTTGAACCCCGGAGTTCAGAGCAGGAACCACGTGTAAAAGTGACTCTTGGGAGGTGGCATGTGCAGGGGTTAAGAGCACTTACTTGTTCTCAGAGGGGACCTGGGCTCAATTCTCAACACTCATCTGACACTCCGGTACCCAGACACACATGCAAGCAAAATATACACTCATATATATCAAATAAAATAAAAACCAAAAACATTAAGAAAAAAGGGAAAATGGCAAGAATAGGTCTAAAAAGTGATGCTTTTTGATGGCTGAATTGCTCAACTATTAAGTGCTCCCACATGGTAACTTACAACAATCTGGATCTCAGGTTTCTGGGGATACTCATTCTCATAGCCTTCAAGAGCACAGGCATGCACGTGTTGCACGTACATACATGAAGGCAAGACGTTCATACATATAAAATAAAAATAACTAAATATTGAAGAGAATAAACAAGGGTTGTGGCCAGGCAGTGGTGGCGCACACCTTTACTGCCAGCACTCGGGAGGCAGAGTCCCGCAGATCCCTGAGTTCAAGGCCAGCCTAGTCTACAGAGTGTGTTCCAGGACATCCAGGGCTACACAGAGAAAGCCTGTCTTAAAAAAACAAACTAAATAAATAAATCAAGCAAGCCAGCAGTGAGAGCTATCTGGACGTGATGGTTCATGCCTTTGATCACAAACAGCATTTGGGAGGCAAAGGCAGGGATCTCTCTGAGTTTGAAGCCATCCTGGTCTACATAGAATGTTCCAGGACAGCCAGGGCTACACAGAGCTTCAGTGTACATTCTACAACATATGAGGTGCCTACATAGTGCTCATATAAATAAATATAAAGAAGATAATCCTGCAAATTCTAAGGTTATTTTTTACTGGGGAGGGGGACTATTGAGGCAGAATTTCCCTGTATGGCCCTGGTTGTCCTGGAATTCATTTTGTAGACCAGGCTGACCTCAAACTCACAGAGGTCTGCCTGCCTCTGCTTCCCTGGATTCAAAGGTGTGTACCATTAGCGCCCAGCTAAGTTAATTTTTTAACTTCTGTTTTTTCAACATACAGTCAAAAATATGCTACATTAAGCATAAGCACCAGGTTATATTTATATTGTCACAGAAACTTAGACTTTGGGGGCTTTGTTTGTTTGGGTTTCTCAGGTTGTACTTGTGCGCCTGTGAGAGAGTGGACACACGGGGGCGGGGGGGCGAGCACAGCTGCCCCCACAGGCACAGGTGTTGGATTCACCCTTCACCCTAGGCTGTAGTCACAGGTAATTGTGAGCTGCCTCAGGGGGGTCCTGGGAACTGAACGCAGGTCCTCTGGGAGTACAGGAAGTCCTCTCCACCAAGAATTTAGATGAGGGATTGCTTTTGAAACAGAATTTCTGGAATTCTTGCGACAGGCTGGAAAGTCCCCTGTGTGATTTCCGGGAAGGCCTTTCTGAACTCTTAGGGAAAGTGGGAAAGCTGGACCGTCTTACTGAAGACCGAGCCAGGGCATCTACAGCAAAGGGAACAACCTCAGAAAGCCTGCTTCCCACAGTGTTTATAAATAATTAAATAAACTGGGTGATGGTGGCACATGGCTTTAATCCCAGCACTCGGGAGGCTGAGGCAGGTGGATTTCTGCGAGTTTGAGGCCAGTCTGGTCTACAGAGCCAGGGCTACACAAAGAAACCCTGTCTTGAAAAAACCAAATAAATTAATAAAAATAAATAAGTAGTAACATAAAAATACATCTGAACTAAGATTATTTGAAGCTTATGTGGATATTTTCTGTCATTTTCATCATGAACAAATATCATTTAAAAGTCGCTGTCCTGGAGACAGATGTAGAGACCCACAGCCAAACATCAGGCAGAGAGGGGTCAAGGACACCACGGGAAGGCTCACACAGTCAGCTAACCTGGGCTCAGAGGGGCTCACAGACTGAGCCGACAACCGGGAAGCCTGCACGGGACTGACCAAGGTCGTCTGCCCATACATTACAGTTGTGTAGCTGGTCCTCTTATGGGACAGGGGCTGTCTCCGACTCTTTTACTGGCTTTTGGGACCCTACTTCTCATACTGGGTCGCTTGCCCAGCCTTAATACGTGGGGAGGTGCTTAGTCCTACCGCAACCTGATATGCCGTGTATCGCTGATATTCATAGGAGACCTGCCCTTTCCTGGATGGAGACAGAAGAGGAGGGGGTTGGGGGCTGGGGGTGGGAGAATGGGGGAGAGGGATGGAGGGGAGTATGGTGGCGGGAGGCTGCAAACAGGATGTAAAAGAAATAGAATTTAAAAGAAAAAGTCACTATCCTGGGAAATCGATCCTTTTATTAAAAGACAAAAGCTGCCAAGCGGACACTTAGAGCTGCACTCACCCTGCAGAAGAGACGCAATGAAGGCGGTGGCCACGCTGCTGGAGCACAGAAGTATGGAATGGCTGAGGTAATACTTCCCTTCTGGGATCCAGCCCAGCACGATCGCTGCCACAGCTGCTAAGAAACCAACCACTGTGGCCTGGACCTACAAGCAGTTTTTGTAAAATCCAGGTGAGTAATTCTTAAAACGTTAAATTTTCATTAGTCAGTCACTGCACACAAAACAGTCGGAAGAAGTGCTGTGTGTGGTAACTGGATTTTAGTTTTAATATCTGCTGCCCTCTTGAGGAAGAAACCTGGTCAGTCGGCTTCATCAACTTAGACCATGAAACCCAATGTGGACAAGTTCAACAGAACCGCCATACACGGGCTGCCCATGCATGCTGCAGCATTGCCAGGGCATAAACTTCACTTCAGACTGCTTAAGACAGCGGGCTTTCAAATTGCCCTGACCTACATCAAGAGGTGTGGCCTTCAGGACCACATTGTTTTTGTTTGTTTTGTTGTTGTTGAGACAGTTTCCCAATGTGGCCCTGGAACTCACTCTGCAGACCAGACTGACCTCAAACTCACAGAGATCCGCCTACCTCCACCCCCAGATGCTGAGAGATGAACCCCTGGAGCTGATGTTACAGATGGCTGTGAGCCATGTGATGTGGGTGCCGGGACCCGCACTCCAGTCCTCAGGGAGAACGGCACGAGCGCTTAACTGCTAAGCCATCGCCAGGCCCTCCAGGTCTGTCCTTAACCAGCACCTCCACATTCATCTTCTCCTCCACAAGCGTTGCTGGTGAAGCTCAGGGAGAAAATAATCGCTCCCCTAACCCAACCCACAGCCGCCATCTTCTCCTCTTCCTTAGGTCTGTGGCAACCACTGCCAACAACCACGGCCTCACTGGTGATCACCTGTGGTATCATGATGGCTCTGCCCAAGTCCCCCATTTATCACGTATCCTTGGAGGAGGAAGCCAAAGAGGCATTAAATTTTAGCAACTAGGATTGGCAAATTCCTGGCGACCTCTGGCAACCATCTTAACCAACGGTTTCAGGAAGGAGGATGGCGAGGGAGGGTAGAGACAATGGGAAGACCGTGTGCCACAGGTTGAGGCGGGGACAGTTAACGGTGACTTTCACAGACCACTCGTGACAGTCATGGCTTCAGAGGGTTCGGGGTTTAAATCAACGATTCTCAGTTTCTTGGTTTGCTGTAGCACTCTACTGATTTATAAATATTTGGAAGGTCTTGATTTTGTCTTGTTGTTACTGGGGAGGACAAACTTCTTGCATGTCAGGCAAGAAGTCTGCCACTGACTGACATCCCTACCTAGCCGTTTGCCCGTGCTTTTACCATCCTGCCTAGGTTCCTACATGGTCACGCTGAAAGGTTCTTAGACTTTTCTAACAAAATACTAGCACTGAAGAAACAAAACTGAAGCCCAGAACACTTATGTAAATTAACAAAGGCTCTACAGCTGGTTTACGTTAGAGGCGAAGTCAGGGCTCAGATTTTCTTGGTTCCAGTCCTACAAACTTAGAGGCAACTGCACAGACACGAAAAGGCCTTTATCTCAGGAACTCTTCTATCCTTGAAAGGCAACGCAGGAAATTATATTCCACAACCATACTCACTCTCACAGCCTAGCTGAGCTAACATTAGAACTAGTATATCCTCCCGCTGCTCACCGGAGCTAAAGAGTTACTCCTGGGAGCTGGAGTCATTCACTGAAGATTTAGGAGTTCTCTGATAGAAGAGACACCTTAGAGAACAAAGAGCCATAGATCTATGATTCCTGATTCCTTACATGTGTTACTAGTAAGGGAATGGATTTACTAATCGTAACAAGGGCAACATTAACTAGGGAAAATCAGCATAAACAAATGGGTGACCACAATATCCAGAAAAAAGGTCAGTATAATTAAGCAACTAATATGCTTAGAAATCCTAGAGAAGGCAGATGTTGTGTTCCTGTAGACCCGGGAGTTTGCGATCAGACTGAGGAACAGAGTGACAGTGTCTCACAGAAACAAAAAGCTAAAACTAATACAGACGAAACACAGAGCAGGGCATGGTGGCGCCTCAGAAGTTGAAGCGGGAGGGTTCTGAGCTTAAGGCCAGCCTCAGCAACAGCAGAAGTCTGGCTCGAAAATAATAAAGATGGGGCTAGAGATGGGAGTCAGCTGGAGTGATCCCTGAGGATACACAGCCAGGTATCAACACAAAAGCCAGGACTGGAGATGCACGTCTGTAATCCCAGCTCTCAGGACGCGGGAGAATAGGAAGTCCAAGGTCATCCTCACCTACATAAAAAGTTTAAGGTCAGTCTGGGATACATGAGATTCCGTCTCTCCCCAATATCAAAAAAATTAGTCGTAAGTTAAAGTAGAGAAATGGCACAGCGTTTGTGGTGGCTTAAATGAGAATGGCCTCCACAGGCTCATATACTTGAGTCCTTAATCACCAATTAGGGGAACTGTTTGGGAAGGATTAGGAAGTGGGTCTTGCTGGAGGAGGTGTGTCACTGGGAAAGGACACTGAGGTTTCAGAAGCCCTTGCCGGTTCCAGTCTCTCTCTGTCTCTGCCTTTGGATCAGGATGCAAAGTTCTCAGCTACTGCTAAAGCGCCATCCCTGTCTGCCTCCAGCCACGATGACCATGGACTCGCCACCTAAAACTGTAAGCCAGCCCCAGTTAAATGCTTACTTTATAAGAGTTGCCGTGGTCGTGATGCCGCTTCATAGCAATAGGACAGTAACTAGGACAGTACTTAAACAATGAATTCTTAAATATTTATATAAATATTTCTACTACAGCTATGGTGTACTTGCATTGCCTCTCAGTACCTGTAAACTTCTTTTACAACTTGGAAGAAGTTGATCAGTGTCTAGAAATAGAAGACTTTCAAAGGCCATGGGCATCAACTGATTCCAACACCTTTGGGGTACTAAGTCATTACTTTCGTGCATCATGAAACAAACAGTGAATTTCACCCCCAAGATCTATAAATAAGTGTGTCACATACCTGCTTTAAAGCCAGGTTGCCAATGATCAGATTCCACTTCTCAATGGGCGAGTCCATCTTCCCGACGTTCACCTGTTGAGGGGAATATCAGCATCGCTGTTATCAGTTCTATTTAAGCACAAACACACCTTTAGCAAACCTGCTGTGTGTGCCAGGAGCTGGTGGCACATGGTTTTGATCCCAGTACTCATGAGACAGACGAAGGCGGATTTCTGTGAGTTTGAAGTCAGTCCAGTTTACAGAGTGAGTTCCAGGACAGCCAGGGCTACACAGAGAAACCCTGTCTCAAAAAACAAAAACAAGGCCAGGTGGTGGTGGCTCACACCTTTAACCTCAGCACTCAAGATGCAGAGGCAGGCAAATCTCTGTGAGTTTGAGACCAGCTGGGTCTACAAGAGCTAAAGAGCTAGTTTCAGGACAGGCCCCAAAACTACAGCAAAACCTTGTCTTGTCAAGTCAAAAAACAAAACAAAACAGAAAATCTACTGTGTACAGCCTGTGTTCAGAACAATTCCAAACTTACCACCAACCTGCTATCTGGCTTGGTCAAGATGGGAAAACTGTTTTAGACAACAAAGTTATAGTCAGCCATTGTAGGGCCCTGTCCCCCCTTACTCCCTGGGGTGCATCTCTGAGGACAGTTCTGGTCAGCCAGCTAAGCTTCCTGCTAGTTTCTGTTATCTCTGCCATAGCCTGGTGATTCAGCCTAGGGCTTTGTTTTATCTTTGGTGTGGCAATTTCCCACCTGCCCAGGAGAGTTCCTACAGACTCCAGCTTCTCTCTTGCTTGGCCCACTGTCTGTCGCTGCTCTCCGCCCCCTGCCTGGGAAGATACCCACATGGCGCCAGTTCCCCTTGCCCCCCTGACTGGGAGGAAGTTCCCTTACTGGGGCCAAGGTATATTAGCCTTACATTCTGCTAAATAAAGTGGTATTCGGCTATTTCTTGACAAATGACCCAGGTCTCTTTGTGTCGTGTCTTTTGTTCAATCCCCAGGCCTTTGCCCAAGCTCGTGGCCGGTACGGAGGCACAAGGACCGTACCAGGAGGGTGGCGCAGAACCGGGTGGCTACAATCCATCTACTGGCAGATGTTATGACTACACCAATTATCTTCCTCCCATCCAAATTCGATATAATGAGGCCCAACAGAAATAATGCTATAATTTTGAGCTGTCTGTGCATAATTCCATAGCACAAAACAAATATAATTCAGAGTCACTTGCCAAAGAACAGAATATAAACAAATTGTTCAAGTGTACATAATCTATATTTGAATCATGACAATATTAGCAATAATTATTAGCATTCAATTCATAGATTTTGATGGTACCTCCAGATATTTATATATCTTTCTGGCAAATGGAAGAACACTTTCCAAAATAAGGCTAATATTCACATAGTCTACTGCTGTGTAATCTAGATAATTTTCTCAGGTTTTAAAAAATATATAGACATCCAAATTTTCCAAGTTTTGTAATGTAGTAGTTTGAAAAGCAATGGAAAAATCATTAGCAATACATAAACACACATTTACAAATATATCACACTGAGTTAGATTTTAATTATCCATCATCTGTCGTGGAAGATTTTCAAATGTTATAAAAACATCTGGAGCCAGTGAGATGGCTCAGCAGTGAAGGCGCTCACTGTCCAACCCGGCAACCAAAGCCTGGTTCCTGGAAACCACACAGTGGAAGATGAAGGAGGGGGAACAACCCCTGCAAGCTGTCCTCACCACACACACACACTCACACACACACACACGCACGCTCACACGCACACACACGCACACACACGCACACACGCATGCACACACACACACACGCACTGTAGTACATGCATGCTTACACTCACACAATACATTAAATAAATAGATTTTTAAAGCTTTTTAAAAATCTGCACAAGGGTGAGTAAAGGCAATACAGCACACACAAGACTCAATACCCAGCACCACAGAAGCATACAAAATCGTTATTTACAGGTAGTTTTAACCATGGACAGACTAGCATGGTCTCAGCGGATCAGCCGGGTAAGAGTCACATCAAGATGCCAGCTATTCAATTCTTAGACCATTTTTTTATTCTGTGATCTCTCTGGACTTTGGCCTCAAAGTATCCAGTCAATGCAAACACTGAGGTTTCTCAGTGCTTTAGAATAATTATCCACGCAGTCTTATAGATTTATGTACTAAAGCTGACAATAAAAATTGATACAACCCAGTCTGGAGTTCTACTTGAGAGAGCAACATTTAAAGGGCAAACCCGCCTCAGGTGCAGAGCCGAACAGGCCGGCAAAGACTCACGTGCGTTTTCATAACTCACTAAAAAAGATGCTCATGGCTCCAGTTAGCAATCTAAGACAGCTCCATAAAGAAGCGTCAGACACAGACTCCACAGCTGTTAGCAGAGACCACTCCAGAAGACCATCCAGCTGTTAAAAATGTGGAGAACTGGCCACAGAACACCCTCCCCCAATGGATACATCTACAGCATGAATGACACCCAAAGGCTCCGGAACCATCAAGGAGGACGTGAAAAGATTATTGGACCAGAGGAACAAGTGTCTGCTGTGAGACGGTGTCTTCTGACTGTGACAGGGAAGCTACACCCGTGAAATCTCAACAGCATGGCTGCCTAAACAAGACTGAACAATTCTAACAGCAGCTGCCGTCCCGACCTAGATGAAAAAGGTTACCTGGGACCTCACCCCTAGATGAAAAGCTACAGGCAGGTAACAGTTGCTGAGCGCGGGAGAGTCAGTCTTTCCCAGGGAGGAGGCTCCTAACCGGTTATTCAGCACCAAGTGCTCGGCCCTAGAAACACAGCCATCCGGACAACACTGAAAGGGCTTGGGGAGCTGTGTTTCTGTGTTTGTTTATGTGTATATGTCTACATGTATATGTTTGTTTAGATGTATATGTTTGCTTATGTGTGTGTGTCTATATGTATATGTTTGTTTATGTGTATATGTTTGTTTATATGTTTATGTGTGCTTATGTGTATATGCACAACAAGGGTAAAGAAGAGGGGGCCATGGGAGCTGGAGAGATGGCTCAGTGGTCGGGAAAGCTGGCTACTCTTCCAGAGGACACAGGTTTAATTCCCACCACCCACATGGCAGCTCAAGCCTAACTCCAATTCCAGGGGTCCTGACACCCTCACACACAGAGACATACATGCAGGCAACAAAACAATGCACAGAGAAAATGAGGAGACCATGGATTTGGGAGGAACTGTGGATAGGAGCAGACATGATAAAAAGAAGAAAAAGGAAAGGGGGAAATAATGTAATTGTGTTTCAATTAAATACTTTTGAACCTTAAATTATGAGAAAGAGCAAGGAAAAAAAATGAAGTCAAGTAGGAGAATAAGCAACGAAAGACGTGAGAGAGAGAGTAGCAGTGAAGAGCGGAGAGCACTGGGAGAGTCTGGAGAAGGAGAGTCTGGGGCCGTTCCTAAGACGCGACTGACGCGCAGCTACCACACCAGCAACCATCTGAGATGCGCAGACGCGTGCGCAGACTCCTCATGCGCAGACTCAGTCTCGCATACCCAAGATCAGCTTCTCTGGCTAAGGATTACGTCTCACAGCCCAGGGCTACTAGTCAGCATTTTCCATTGACCAATTTGTTGCTTTACCCTTTTCAGGTAAAGAGAATTTAGAGCCCACTCCCCAGTCTTCTCATTCTCTGACAGTTCTCGATCCCAACACCCTCACCTCATTCACTGCTGCTACCATAATCCAAACCCACACCACATTTAACCTCTAGTATCGCAACAGACTGGTCGCTTTGCTCTAGCCCCTTGGCCACCTATGCCTGAGCTTCAACCGAACAATCAATCTCTTAAAGGCACCTGTTAGGTCACATTACTCCTTCCAATGGGCCCCAGCTCACAGCGTAGCCAAAGTCCTTACAGCAGGCCACAAGACCTTCTGTCGCTGGCCCTGGCTAGCTCGCCAACCTTGCCTTCTAGGATTTCCCCTCTCACCTGGCCCCAACCGTAGGGACTCCAGTGTCGTTTAATACATGGCTTCTCAGACATTAACGGTACATTGTACAAACCTCTGGGAATTTATTTAAATGTGTGAAGGTTCTGCTGCCCACACATAGATGAGTACTCAAAGAACTCAGGGGAGGGTGTCATATTCCCCTGAAATTGGAGTTCCAAATAGTTGTAAAACACCATGTGGGCCCTGGGAATCTAACTCAGGTCCTCTGCAAGAACAGCAAATGATACATCTCTCCAGTCCCTAGAGAGTCTATTTTTTTTTAAGATTTGATTATTTATTTTGTATACAGTGTTCTGTCTGCATGTATGTCTGCAGGCCAGAAGAGGGCAGCAGATTTCATTACAGATGATTGAGAGCAGCCATGTGGTTGCTGGGAACTGAACTCAGGACCTCTGGAAGAACAATCAGTGCTCTTAACCCCCGAGCCATCTCTCCAGCCCCCTAGAGAGTCTATTTTAAAACAAATTACTAGTTTATATTGGTTCCAAAATTTATATTTCTAACAGGCTGCTGGTGCTGACATTAAAAGACCATATTTTAAGGAACACCCAACTTTAGCCAGGCTGTGGTGGTGTCATGTGCCTTTAATCCTAGCACTTGGGAGGCCGAGGCAGAAGATCTCTAAGTTCAAGGATTGTTTGGTTTACAGAGAAAATTGTAGAACAGCCAGGCCTATACAGAGAAAACCTGTTTCAAAAAGAACAGAAAAGAAGAGAAGAGAAAAGAAAAGAAAAGAAGAGAAAAGAAAAGAAAAAAGAAAAAAGGCAGGTTGAGCAAGCTGTGGAGAACAAGCTGATAGACCGCACCTGCTCCACGGCCTCCGCATCACCAGGCCTCAAGTTTCTGCTCTGGTTGAGTTCTAGGCCTTTCTTCGATGATGAGCAGTGATTTGTAAGTGTAAGGCAAATAAGCCCCTTTGTAGCACGATTAATAAAAATGCAGAGACAGATATTGGGGTTCAACCTGATCAATAATTAAGAAAAGCATCCTATAGCTGGATCTTACGAAGACATTTTCTCAATTGAGGTTCCCTTCTTTCAGATAACTCTAGCTTATGTCAAATCGACATAAAACTAGCCAGCACACTGCCTTGATACCCATCCCCCAAAGAGACTAGATTCACCTTAATGAGACAATATTAACATGTGGATTAAAGATAGAAAATCTTATTTAAAATATATTCTTTTTAAACTGGATTCCCTACAGCAGGATCTATTTAAAACAGAACAGCACAGTGAATCCATTATGAGTCTAAACAATGCTGGCCAAGGCTCAAGAACAGCAAATACTTCTAGATCAATTTCTCTGAGGTAACTGAACCAAAACGTCACTCCTGGCAAAGGGATCAAGCTGCTTCAATGCTTGTGCACGCAGCTGTATTTATCAGAACAAAGTCCGCTTTGCTCATGTGAAGCGGGAGCTGCCTCTCAGCTCCCTTCCAGTAACACAGTCTTCCTCCTCCAACCCTTTCGCCCTGGTGTCTCAAGACCTCTCCCTCAGTTTCTCCTGAAAGATGCCTCCTGGACTCAGGTCTAGGCAAGCCTCATGGTCTTCCTCAAAACCACAGTTTAAAAAAAAAAAACACATATGTTTTCTGCTTTTCCTTCTTAAAGGCAAAGGCTGGGGATATAACCAACACACATTCCATCTGGGTGCCAGGTGATCAAGCAGCAGCACCCAAATTCAGCATGCCAGTCAAGGTCACGATTAAATAATAAGGTACTGGAATAATGAGTAAGCAGGAAATTTAAATTTTAAGCATTTATCAGAATTTCATTATTAGATTGTTTTTAAAAATCGGGTGTTGTGTGTTGTATGCATGATTTTTGTGTGTGCAGGTACACATGTGTATTGTGCATACAAGCACATGCAGATGGCACCCCAGGTGACCTCCCCTTAGTTTTCCAGCGCAGCTGTCTCACGGGGCCTGCACCCGTCTCTGCCTCCCCAGTACTGGGATTACAAACACGCACCGCCACCTCTGGTTTTTGTAAACACCCGGGTTCTGGATCACACACAGGTCCCCACCCTTGCAAGGCAACCACTCTGCCCACTGGGCTATCTTCCCAGCCCCTGTAACTTATTTTTTTGACCTTAAGAGTTTTAAATGTACTTATTATATCGTATCATCACTTGAGGAAAAACATATCCTTAAACCTTGGGTTTGAATTTATACTCATGTGTCAGCACCAGGTCAGAGCCTTTTCAAAACTGGAATAACAGACTTTAATCATCTCATACCGTGAAAGAAGCACACTTCTTTCCTCCTCTTCTAAGCACACTTTTTATTCCAGAAGTTTCCAGAAAAGTAACTGCTATCTCTGCAGATAGCAACTGGCTATTAGCAAGTCCTACTATGCCAGCACTGTTTTACAGAGTACAAGATTAAGGACCTTCTGTCCAAGTAATCCTTTTAAATAAATGTACAGTTCCTCTTGCATATTGGTTTTCTATCAGCATTGTGGTGAGGAGTGTGGAGGGGTTGGCTGGTTTTCCTTCCTTCCTTCCTTTTTTTGAGATAGGGTCTCACTATTGCTGTCCTGGAACATCTTATGTAGACCAGGCTAGCTTTGAACACATAAAATCCACCTGCTGCTGTCGCCCAAGGGCAGGTATTAAAGGTGTGTGCCACCATGACTGACTGGTTGCCAGATCTGATGATGCCACCAACCTGGGCTAGAACTTGTCATGTGCCACTGGCTGCCTTTAAATTCAATGTCCTTTCTGCTTCAGCCTCCTAGGTGCTGACAGCCACCCACCCCCACGCCTAGCTCTACCTCTCTGGGGTTTTGTTGTTGCTGTTTGTTTGTTTCTTTTGTCTTGCTTTTAGATTCATATATTTGAATGCTTAGTCACCAGGGAGTGACACTATTTGAAAAGGTTAGAAGGATTAGGAGGTGTGACCCCGTTGGAGGAAAATCATGAATTCTAAATGTTAGGTTGAACTTTCAGATCTTACGAGAAAAATAACTGCCAGGCGGTGGTGGCTCCCAGCAATCAGGGGCCAGAAGCAGGCGGATCTCTCTGAGCTTGAGGGCATCCTGGTCTACATAGTGAGTTCTAGGACAGTCAGGCAGTAGAGACCCTGTCTGAAAAACAAATTGAAACAACAGCAAATCCCTAATTAAAATGCGTCTGGAGAGCTGATATTGGGACTGGAGGGATGTCTCAGCAGTTAAGAGCACTTGCTGCGTTCGCAGAGAAAGCACGTTAAATTCCCAGCACCCATATGGCTGCTTACAATCATTTACAACTGCAGTTCCAAGGAATCTGAGGCCCTCTTCAGGCCTCTGGGAGCACTAGGCACACTCGTATACAGTCAAGCAAAATATTCATATACATAATTTTTTTATTTTATATATATTGGTGTGAAGGTGTCAGATTCCCCTGCAACTGAATCTTCAAACAGTTGTGAACTGCCATGTGGGTGCTGGGAATTGAACCCAGGTCCTCTGGAAGAGCAGTCAGTGCTCTTAACCACTGAGCCATCTCTCTAGCCCCTACATAATTTTTTAATTAAAAAAAACATTATCAATCTGATTAAATGACATTTGCAGAATGGTCTCCTCCTCTCAGATCCTGGTGTGACTCACTGCCCTTGTTCAGCTTCCAGTTTACACAGCATCTGCTCCTACTCAGAAGGATGAGCTCCATGTACGGATCAGTGATCTCCACAGATGTGATCTGAAGTCTACATAGAAAGTCAGCCTTCACCACATGACCTGAGCATGAGTCTGTGTACGAATCAGGATCTCCACAGACATGATCTGAAGCTGCCCTCCCACGTCAGCCTTCACCACATGACCTGCACTAATTCTCTCCTCCCCTGTTGGTAGCTGAAATGATGTGTTATGGGGATCTCTGGAATCAGCACTCTGGCACCCATGAGAATGAAGGGAGGCGGTGGGACTGGCAGACGGAAGCCAGGACAGTTCCTGAGAGGCTCCGGTCCCAGGTCCAGTCTGTAATCTCTCGTATTTTCGGTTGTGAGTCAAGCCTTTAACAGCTGAACCATCGTTCCGGCCTCCAGTTTGTGTTCTCATTTTACACACTAAAACCACAAGGCGGGGCGGGCAAGCAAGCAAGCTTTTGCGGAAGCACACAATGCGGTCAGCGGGTTGCTAAGAGCAATGACCCGTTGTTTCAGGTATTCGTCCAGGTCGTCCCGCTTCAGGTACCAAGTGAAGTCACGCTTGGCAAACAGGCAGTCTAAGCTGTGCTCGAAGTGAACCACTAGATAAAGCAGTTCTAATAACGTGGTCTGCTCTACCTTCCTTCTAACTCCAGATTTTTGTCCATTTTATGCCTGCCCTCTCGTTCACTTATGTTAATTGTCATGCCAGGCATGGTGGTGCTTATCTTTAATCCCAGCTCTTGGGAGCCAGAGGCAGGAAGATCTCTGAATTTAAGATCAGTTTGGGCTACATAAAGGATTCCAGGCCAGCCAGGGCTACAGAGTGACACTTATCTAAAAAAAAAAAAAAATTACTTTTCTATTTACAAGTGTTTGCCTCGTGTATGCATGCTACATGCTTGGTGCCTGGAGTCCAGAAGAGGGCATCGGATCTCCTGGAACTGAAGTTAGGACAGCTGCAACCTGCCATGCGGTAGAAACGGAAACCTAGTCCCCCTCCAAGGAAGTGCTCTCAACAACTCAGCCATTCCCCCGGTTCCTGTCATAGTTTTACGATGACAGACCATTAGAAAGTGTTTTTATATCCAACGGGAGATGATAAATCAAATTGTGGGGTTATACAATATAAAAAGATGTAGCCCTGTGTGTTGGCACACACCTTTAATTCCAGCACTTAGGAGGCAGAGCTAGGAGGATTTCTTGAGAGTTCAGGGCCAACCTGGTCTACATAGCAAATCTGAAACCTTATCTTAAAAAAAAAAAAGAGAGCCAATAAAGTATATAATGTTGATCAACTGATATGAAAAGGTCAGCAGTATATACTTTAATGGGTCAGATTGAAGAATAGAATACACAGGATTCCAGCTCTAATTTCAACTCTACCAACCACACCCACATACAATGCATCACACACTAATAAACACGGTCAGTGTGGCCTGTCATCGACGGAGGCAATCGTTTGCTGGTCAGGGAAGACATTCTGGGACGGAGGGGAAAACTTACTGCGGTGGACAATCGAGATGCCAGCGTCATTTCCAGGTTCCCTTTGAGGCCAAGCAGCGCAGGGACTAGGATGAACACTTCCGTCACGTTCCTGAACACCTCCCAGTGCTGGGGACAAGAGGAACAGCCGCTCTTTAGAACAGGACATCTCTAAAGACTTCCAGTGTTGCTTCTCCTTTTCTGTCGCTGAGACAGGGTCTCACCCTGGTGGCCCTGGTTGGCCTGAAACTCAGTATGTAGACCAGGCTGGGCTCCTGAGTGCAGGGATCAGGGCGTGTACCACCCCATCTGGCTTTGCTTCTGTGTCTTAAAGGACAGCGCACATTATCTAATTAGTGAACACGCAACCTCCTGAGATCAGGATCTGAGTGACTTTAGGAGAATCCATTGGTGCTGCCTCAGCATCTGACATCACTACAGCCCCCTCTACAGTTAACCCTGAGGCTCCTAAGATTCACTATGTCAGTGTTCAAGATGGAGGAGTCCGCAGCCTATCACACACTGGACAAGCACTCGGCTACTGAGTCCCACACCAGCCCTTGATTTTTAAGACAGCTCAGGTTGGCCATTCACTCATTACTATAGCTAGGCCAGCCTTGAACCTGTGACCCTCATGCTCTGCACCCCAAATGCTAGATGCCAGGCCCACACCACCATTCCCAGTTACTTCATCATTTCACAGTGGCAGAGTCCACGGAGCTAACGGTTAAGAGCTCGGGCTGTGGACTGGGGCTGGGTTCCAGCACTACTTAGAACAAGAAAATCACACTGCTGTTAGTAAGTTTACAGATGAGGATGTAAAGATTCCAAAAGGTAAAGATTCCAAGAGGTACAGCAACATTTCCAGGGTAAAAAAAAGAAGAAGAAGAAGAAGAGGAGGAGGAGGAGGAGGAGGAGGAGGAGAGGGG